ATTTATTTTTATTGAGGTATAATTGGCATACAATATCCTATTAATTTAAAGTATGTATTGTAGTGATTCCATATTTTTTATACACCATGAAATGGCCCCCTGGGATGCCTGGGTGGCTCAGTGGCTGAACGCCTGCCTTCCGCCCAGGGCATGATCCTGGAGTCCTGGATCGAGTACCACATCAGGCTCCCTGTGAGGAGCCTGCTTCTTCCTCTGCTTGTGTCTCTGCCTCTCTCTCTGTGTGTCTCTCCTGAATAAATAAATAAAATCTTAAAAAAAAAGAAAAAGGGGGATCCCTGGGTGGTGCAGCGGTTTAGCGCCTGCCTTTGGCCCAGGGTGCGATCCTGGAGACCCAGGATCGAATCCCATGTCAGGCTCCCGGTGCATGGAGCCTGCTTCTCCCTCTGCCTATGTCTCTGCCTCTCTCTCTCTCATTCTGTGTGACTATCATAAATAAATAAAAATTAAAAAAAAAAGAAAAAAATGATCCCCATAATAAGTCTAGTTACTGTCACCATACAAAGTTAATACAGTATTATTGGCTATATTCTCTTTGTGTATGTTACATTCCTATGACATTTATTTTATAACTGGAAGTTTGTACCTCCTAATTCCTTTTACTTATTTTGCCCACCCCTCAACACCTCTCCCAACTCTGGTAAACAACAGTTTATTTTTTATTATTTATGACTATTTCTGTTTTACATTTGTTTTGTTTCTTAGATTCTACATAATAAGTGAAATGATGCGGTATTTGTCTTTCTCCATATGACTTATTTCATTTAGCATAATACACTCTACATCCATCCATGTCACAAATTATAAAATTTTATTCTTTTTATAGTTGAGTAATATTCCACTGCGTGTGTATGTGCGTGTGTGTACACATCTTATTTATCCATTCATCTATTGATAGTTTCCATATATTGCTTATTTTAAATAATACTGCAGTGAATGTGGAGGTGCATATATCCCCTCACATTGGTGTTTTTGTTTTCTTTGGATAAACCAAGAAGAGGAATTGTTGAATCATATGGTAGTTCTATTTTAAATTTTGGATGGGAACCTCCATGCTCTTTGCTACAGTAGCTGCTCCAGTTTACATTCCTACCAACAGTGTATGTGGGTTCCTTTTTTTCCCTATAGCTTTGCTAACATTTATTTTTTGTGTTTTTAATAATTACCAATCTGACAGATGTGAGGTAAAGTTGTGGTTTTGATCTATAGTTCTCTGATTTGCATTTCCCTGATGTTGAACATCTTTTTATGTGCCTGTTTGCCATCTGTAAGTCTTCCTCAGGAAAATGTCTATTCAGTTTCTCTGCTCAATCTTAAATCAGGTTGTTTGGGGGTTTTTTTTATATTAAGTTGTGTAAATTATATGTATTTTGAATGTTAACCCCACATCAGATGTATGAGTTACACATATCTTCTCCCATTCAATAGGTTGCATTTTCATATTGTTGACAGTTTCCTTCTTTGTGCAAAAGCTTTTTGCTTTGACGTAACCCTATTTATTTATTTTAGCTTTTGTTGCTTTTGCCTGAGGAGACTAGTCCAAAAAAGTATTTCTCAGACCAATGTCAAAGAGTTTCCAGCCTATGTTTTCTTTCTTTCTATGTTTATGGTTTCAAATCTTGCATTGAAGTCTTTAATATGTGAGATAGTGGTCCAGTTTCATTCTTTTGCATGTACCTGTCCAGTTTTCTCAACAGCATTTATTGAAGAGGATGTCTTTTCCCCATTGTGTGTTCTTGCCCACTTTCTCATAGATTAATTGACCATATACACATGGGTTTATTTCTGGGCTCTCTATTCTATTCCATTAATCTATGTGTCTGTTCTTATGTCAGTACCCTACTGTTTTGATTACTATAGCTTTGTAGTACAGTATGAAATCAGGGAGCATGATACCTCCAGCTTTGTTCTCCTCTCTCAAGACTGCTTTGGTTATTTGGGGTCTTTGTCATTTCAAATAAACTTTAGAATTTTTTTTATTTACTTATGATAGTCACAGAGAGAGAGAGAGAGAGAGAGAGAGAGAGAGAGGCAGAGACACAGGCAGAGGGAGAAGCAGGCTCCATGCACCGGGAGCCTGACGTGGGATTCGATCCCGGGTCTCCAGGATCGCGCCCTGGGCCAAATGCAGGCGCCAAACCGCTGCGCCACCCAGGGATCCCTAGAATTTTTTTGTTTTTGTTTTTGTTCTAGGAAAAATGAACTTGCTATTTTGATGGGTATTGCTTTGAATCTGTAAATTTCTTTGAGTAGTATGGACATTTAAACAATATTAATTCTTCCAATCTATGAGCACTGTATATTTTTCCATTTGCATGTTTCAGCTTCAATTTCTTTCATCAGTGTTTTACAGTTTTCAGTGATATATGCCTATAATTTTCTTCTTTTCTTGTGTCTGGTTCTGGTATTGGGTAATGCTGCCCTTGGAAAATGAGTTTGGAAGCACTCCTTCCTCTTCAATTGTTTTTGGAATAATTTGAGAAGGATAGGTACTAACTCTTTTTAAAATGTTTGGTAGAACTCACCTGTAATGACATCTGGTCCTGGACTTTTGTTTGTTGGGAGTTTTAAAATTACTGAATCAATTTCATTACTTGTAACCAGTCTCCTCAGTTTTTCTGTGTCTTTATGATTTGGTGTTGCAAGGTTGTGTGTTTCAAGGAATTTGTTAATTTCTTCTAGGTTTTCCATTTTATTGGTGTATAATTGTTCATAGTAGTCTCTTGTGACCATTTATATTTCTGTGGTGTCAGTTGTAATTTCTCTTTTCTGATTTTATTTGGGCCCTCTGTGTTTTTTCTTGATGAGACTGGCTAGAGAGTTATTGATTTTGTTTATCTTTTCAAAGAACTAGCTTCTAGTTTCATTGATCTTTTCTATTTGTTTTGTTTCTATTTCATTTATTTCCACTCTGGCCTTTTATTATTTCCTTCTTTCTACTAACTTTGTGCTTTGTTTGTTATCTTTCTTCGTTTTTCTAGTTCATCTAGGTGTAAAGTTAGATAGTTTATTTGGGATTATTTTGTTTGTTTCTTGAGGTAGGCCTGTATTGCTATGAACTTCCTTCTTAGAACTGCTTTTTGCTGTGTCCCACAGATTTTGAAACATTGTGTTTCCATTTTCAAGGTGTTTTTTATTCCATTTATTTTCTTCATTGACCCACTGATTGTTTGGTAGCATGCTGTTTGGTCTCCACATGTTTGTCTTTTCCAGTTTTCTTCTGGTAATTGAAGAAATTACATGCTGTGGCCAGGAAAGATGCTTGCCACAATTTTATTCTTCTTGATTTTATTGAGATGTATTTTTTTGTGGCCTAACATGTGGTCAATCCTGGAGAATATTCCATGTACACCTGAAAAGAATGTATATTCTGTAGTTTTTAGATGAAGTGTTCTGTGTAAAACTATAATGTCCTTCTCATCTAGTGTATTGTTTTAAATCACTGTTTCCGTATTTTTATTTTTTTTTATTTTTTGGCCTGGGTGATCTATGTATTGATGTAAATAGGGTGTTAAAGTTCCCTACTATTATTGTATTACTGTCAATTTCTCTGTTGCTTTATATATTTAGGTGCTCCTATGTTGGGTGCATTAATATCTACAAATTAATTGATTTTTGGATTGACCCCTTTGTCATAATGTCCTTCTTTGTCTTTTGTGACTATGTTTGTTTTAAAGCTGATTTTATCTAATATGAGTATTGCTACTCTAGCTTTTTTTCATTTCCATTTACATGGAATATCTTTTTCCATCTCTTCTATCTTTACTTTCAGTCTCTGTGTGTCTTAGATCTGAAGTAAGTCTCTTATAGACATCATATTGGTAGTCTTCTATTTTTATCCATCCAGCCAACCTATATCTTTTTATTGGAGCATTTAGTCCATATTTATTTATTTATTTTAAAGATTTTATTTATTTATTCATGAGAGACACAGAGAGAGAGAGAGAGGCAGAGACACAGGCAGAGGGAGAAACAGGCTCCATGCAGGGAGCCGATGCAGGACTCAATCCCAGGACTCCAGGATCACGCCGTGGGCCGAAGGCAGGCACTAAACCACTGAGCCACCCAGGGATCTCATCCATTTATATTTAAAGTAATTATTGGTAGGTATGTACTTATGCCATTTTGTTATTTGTTTTCTGGTTGTTTTTGTAGTTCTTTGTTTACTTCTTCCACTCTTTGCCTTCTCCCCTATAGTATGACAGTTTTCTTTAGTGTTAAGTTTGGATTCTTTTCTCTCTCTCTCTCTTTCTTTTTTGTGTTATCTGTTACAAGTTTTAGGCTTGTGGTTACCATGAGTTTTATCTATGCTGATCTATTTATACAGCAGTTTATTTTAAGCTGATAGTTGCTCAAGTTCCAGTGAATCTAAAAGCACTACATATTTGGGATACCTGAGTGGTTCAGTGGTTGAGCATCTGCCTTTGGCTCAGGTTGTAATCCCAGGATCCTGGGATCGAATCCTGCATTGGGCTACCCACAGGGAGCCTGCTTCTCTCTCTGCCTATGTCTCTGCCTCTCTCTGTGTCTCTCTCATGAATAAATAAATAAATAAAATCTAATAAATAAATAAACAAACAAACAAACTGCATGTTTAACCTCTCTCCATGTTTTATGTTTTTGATGTCAGATTTTATTATCTTTTTATTTTGTATATTTTTAACTACTTAGGTAGTTATAGTTATTTTTACTATTTTTGGTTTTTAACTTTCATACTAGCTTCTAAGTGGCTGATCCACTGTCTTGAACATATATTTGTTTTACTAGTGAGATTTTTTCTTTTATATGTTTTCTTATTTCTAGTTATGACATTTTCCTTTCCAATTAAAGAAGATCCTTTAACAGTTCTTGTAAGGCTGGTTTTAGTGGTGATGAACTCCTTTAGTTTTTGTTTATCTGGGAAACTCTTTATCTCACCTTTAATTCTGAATGTTAACCTCGTGGGGAAGAGTGTTCTTGGTTGTTAAGTTTTTCCCTTTCAGCACTTTAAGTATATCCTGCCACTTTCTTTTGGCCTGCAGTTTCTGCTGAAAGTCATGACCAGTGTAAGATTTTAAAGACTGCCTCCCATGCTGTTTATCTTTTTAGTTTATCAAATGTGAAAAGAAGAACAACAACCATATAGTTTATCAATATATATGTCATATAGTTATTTTTTAAAGGAGAAGCTACTTATAAGGCAATGTGGAAACAGAATTTATTCATCTGTTATTAAAAATGTTACACATTCCTTTAGAACACCAATAGAGCAATAAATGTACATTTTAGAGGATGTAAAACAAATTAAATCGTAATTAGTTTTTACTTCTTTTGCCTTGGCAAGACTGGAAGTATGAGTCACTGGTTATGTTTACAAAAGGACTAATCAGGAAGAGAAAAACAGTTTTGGTATAATATAGATTTTCCATTCAATTTGTGTTCTGGGCTGTGCTCCAAGAACAAAGCTCATTCCTTTTTGAAGATCCTCTTGGCTTCTACTCCTTCATATGTGTAAGTCTGAAAGGAGTTAACAAACACAGAAGGATTTGTCATAAAATTTAAGGTTCAATTAAGGAAAATATTAGTATTATTATAGCTTTGAAATGATATAGTATTTTTTTTCTTAGTCTTGATAGCAACATTTTATACAGATACAGGATATACCACTTAAAAACATGGTTTTTGGTTTTTCGTCACATATTTTTAGTTAAAATTGCCATTGATATTTTATACATCTATATAAGTCCTCTTCAAGAAATAGGCAATAGAAAATACCTCTTTTAAAAATAAGATTTATGAGAAAGGTAATACTTTATTTTAAAGATATAATTCAGCAATCAAAATATAAAATAATATGTAATTACTTTTATCTTTAAAAAATAGCTATAATCTTTCTATAACTCACCTGCACAAGTTCACCACCTATAATTTCTCGGATAGCGTTCAGTTCATTTCCATTGTCTACCCGTTTGAATTTTCCAACAAGTTTATTTCCCTCTATGTTCCAAGTACCCTATAAATGTAAAATTTAAAAAAATAATACCAAATAGCTTTTTTTAGAATCTTACATATGAAAAAAAATAGAGTCTTCCATATGTCAAACACTGTTCTGAGTTTTATAGGTCTACTTCTCAGTCTTCACAATGACCTTATAAAGTGGATATCACTATCTCCGTTTTATGGTTGAGAAAACTGAGACATAGTAGTTCACTTAAAGTCACAGAGCCAGGATTGAACCTAGGCTTTTGGGGCTCTAGAGTACATGCTGTTAACTAACCATTACGCTAGTCTCACTTGTTTCCAAATGCTAAATATTAAGGTAGATGAGCAATGCCTCCCTTTTTTAAATCTTTCATGTTAAAAAGAGTGTCCTAAATTTAGTCATGGCTCAGCTTAGTTTCATAAAGAGCCTAACAACTTTGTATGTGTTTTAATTTTATTATTGTAATAATTTAAAAAGGCCGGGTGCCTGGCTGGCCCAGTCAGTGGAGTGTGCACCTTTTGATCTTAGGATTATAGCTTTGAGCCCCATGTTGGGTGTAGAGATTGCTTACAAATAAAATCTTCAAAAATAAATAAATAAATAAATGGCCACAATTGATCAAATATTTGACAATTTGTCATTACAAACATATAATTTAACTAGAAAATCCTGAGGACAAAAAAGATTTTAAAAAGCCAGTTGAAAAACATCACTACCTAAAATTTCTTGTCTTAAACATTAAAAGGTATATTCCCGGGACGCCAGGGTGGCTCAGCGGTTTAGCACCTGCTTTCTCACCCAGCACGTGATCCCAGGGTCACAGGATTGAGTCCCACATCAGGCTCCCTGCATAGATGGAGTCTACTTCTCCCTCTGCCTGTGTCTCAGCCTCGCTCTCTCTAAGAAAAGGGAAGTGCAAAGGGGCTTCTGACTTCCAGGACACAAAGGCAAATATCGCCTTCCAATAGATAGATAGATAGATAGTATATTCCCAATAACCTACAATGTAGCATCAGATTTTTCCATTTGGCCACTCATTCATTAACTAATTTATTCATTTATTTTATTATTTCAGTGTATTTATTAATGACTATTATGTTTTAGATAAATCTAAAAGCTTTTGTTGCTATCATGTAAGTTAAGTAGAAAATACTGAGCTTTAGTTTTCTTTATAAATAATAGGTCTATACTTAATTTTCTGAAGGATGTTTTTCTAATTCTTATTCATACAGATATGAAAATAAAAATATTAGATTTAAATATCCTATCAATTTGTGCGGCATGTAATGTGGATAGACTCTATTGACTGCTTCAGTAAATGAAGGAGGCTTAACATTAAATCTATCCAGGGACAGAAACATACTATTTTAGTATCATGTAGATAAATCAAGAATACATTGCTTGTAAAAAAAGTTTCTTACAGTGAGTTCAGTTCCATCTGCTAGACTGTAATTAAAAGTGACACCAAGCTCAAAAACAATTTCAATGGTACGAAAAGTGCTTGATTCCTTGACGGTGAATTTATTTCCTTCTTGTGTAATTGTCAGTTTCAAATTGTCATGAGTTGCAAGCTTCCTTTTCACCACATTAATACCTGCAAAGCAAAAGATGTTGGAGAAAATAAAGTCAAAATGCCATAGAAAGTGTTTATTTCAAAAAGTTCTATTTTATTTGTTTATGTATATTTTGAGGGTGGGAAGGAAAACCTGATAGCATTGCCTTTGCACAAGAGCATTCAGATTGCCTGTTGCAAAAAAATTTCAAGCTTAGTCAGATCAAGACTAGTGATTCAAACTATCTTTCCAAAACTTATGAAAAATTAAATGAAAAACAGAATTGAATCTTGAATTGAGTAATTTTAATACAATTATCGGGATCCCTGGATGGCGCAGTGGTTTAGCGCCTGCCTTTGGCCCAGGGCGCGATCCTGGAGACCTGGGATCGAATCCCACGTCGGGCTCCCAGTGCATGGAGTCTGCTTCTCCCTCTGCCTATGTCTCTGCCTCTCTCTCTCTCTCTCTCTCTCTCTCTCTGTGACTATCATAAATAAATAAAAAATTAAAAAAAATACAATTATCAAACTTTTTGCTTCAGTGTTAAGTAAACTAAGTTCCAGAAATGTAGAACATAGAATTTAATACATCAATATATTTACAAGGAACTTTAATTCTGCATAAACAGTATTTTTTTAAACTTTTTTTGACTTTCCATACTGGCTTTATTTTTTTTCCATAATGACTTTAAAATTTTGAACTTAATAATTCTCTTTGCTTTGTGTTTCATTTCTCTCACAAAAATGAGAAAATTGGCAAAGATTTCAGTGAAATTTATTATTGTAAGAATGTGCAAATCCCATAAATTTCAACATGGAATTCTGGGACTATAGGATATAATTGATGCAAATTTTGTTTTTGGGGAATGACTCCAATTTGCACATCCTGTGCAGTGTATGAGCTGCCAGGGTATTAGAATAGCTATTAAAGTTAGTTAGATTATTATTAATTTTTAAATATTTATTCATGAGAGACACACAGAGAGAGAGAGAGAGAAAGGCAGAGACACAGGCAGAGAGAGAAGCAGGCTCCATGCAGGGAGCCTGATGTGGGACTTGATCCTGGGTCTCCAGGATCATGCCCTGGGCTGAAGGCAAATGCCCAACCCTGAGCCACCCAGGCGTCCCAAGTTAGTTAAATTAAAACCCACAGAGAAACCCCATGGAAACATAAGATTATTCCCCAAATTTTGTATGTCGGAGGAAATGAGAATTAAGTCCAATTTATTTAGAACTGCCAATTATTATAGAACTTTTTTCCATTACTCTACTATATGATCTTTGTTTTTCCACCCTCTAGTTTTCCATCCTCAAAGTTTTGAAGTTTTCATAATGCACTTCCATATTTTAGAGTTTTGAATTTTTCATTATGCACTTCCATGTTTTGCTCTCTAAACCAAAAAAATACCAGTTTTCAATGATATAGGCACAAACAGCAGTTGAAGAATGAAACATACCTGGATCTTTTCTGTTTCAGAGAACTCAAAGAATCTTTTCTCCCACTACAAAGACTAGGTAGTTTTACTAATATAAGAAGTGAGAATATTATTTTCCCTACTCTGAGCCATCACACATTCTGGATCCTCACCATCAGAACAGGAACCATTCCCTAAACCCTGAGGTTTAGAAGGAATTAGAAAAATGTCTGTAAGGAACAAAATAACAAGCCACTAAAGAAATAAGCCCTTACCCATTTTTTCCATGAACTTGTCATAGTTCTCATTCCGGTCTATCTTCCAAGTACCATCAAAAGCCATGATCTCCAGTTGAGTCAGCCTCTAAGCAATCAGAGATTCAGGTCTGTCCTTAGGAGACAATTTATTCTATTTTCTTATCTTAGAACCAACTTCATACTGTGATGTGGAAGTTTAAAGTTTAAAAGGTCACCTAACTACACTAATGCCCAGCCATTGTAGTTTATCTTTCTATACATTTCTTAGTTCCTCTCCTGAAATTCAACTGAATTGCAGTTGACCCTTGAACAACATGGGTTTGAAGTGCATGGATCCACATATATATGGATTTTTTTTCAATATATACAATACAATATTGTAAATGTATTTGCTCTTCCTTATTTTTTAAATATTTTCTCTAGCTTACTTTACTGTAAGAATACAGTATGTAATACATATAACATACAAAATATGTGGGAGTTTTTTGTTTTTTAAAAAGATTTTATTTATTTATTCATGAGAGACACAGGCAGAGACATAGGCAGAGGGAAGAGCAGGCTTTCCATGGGGAGCCCAATGAGGGACTTGATCCCAGGACCCCAGGAACAAGACCTGAGCCAAAGGCAGACGTTCAACCACTGAGCCACCCAGGTGCCCAAAATATGTGTTAATTGACTGTCTATGTTACCAGTAAGACTTCTGGTCAACAGTGGACTATTTAAGTTTTTGAGAAGTCAAAAGTTATATAAGGATTTTTGACTGCATGGGGGGGGGTTGATGCCCCTGATCCCCATGTTGTTCAGGAATCTACTATAAAACATGATAAACAATACTTATTCTGTCTCCAACTACAATTTGTGAGTACATTTATTTCAAGAACTAGAATGTATACTCTGAAAATAAGATTTTCTGCTTACAAGTTCAAAGTGCACACTACATTGGAGGTAACACAATTTAGAACATATATCAAATAACATCTGGTATATGAGACTATTAATGACCTATCCCTTTTTTACAATAGCAATTACCTTGTAAAGTTAGATTTTATGACCAAATATAAATAAAAAGTTAAAGTTAATACAATATTGAGACTGAAGATTTATTCATGTTGCTAATACGTTCTTTTGCATTGTGTTTTAGGTTGCCAGGAGTTTGGTAAATATCCTGGTACCTGGTACAGTGCATGGCACATAGTAGATACTCAGTAGGTTTTTACTTTGGTCTTGAATGGTGATAGGCCTCTGAGAAAAATTTTAAGACGTGGAAGTGTAGTTAGATAACCCGAAAACTTCCATAGGAGAATCAGTTTTAAACATCTGCCATGTACAGAGAAAACCAAAATCAGATGTCAGCTATGTCATTAATTAAAACTATTCCTTTGTTTTGCTCTTATTCCTTCTCATCTCCAATCCTGGTACAATCAGAAACTAAAACTCAATATGTATATGGGACAAGGCTATGGAAGTAGCTAAGAAGATAAAAAGACAAGAAGATCACATGTCTCTCCTTTCCCCCACTGCAGGCTTTGAGCCTGGAGCAGGATTGAGCTGGTGGAGGAAACACATTAAATTACTCTGAAGTGTAGAGTTTTGATTATTAACTAGTTGGAACATATAATTTCTAAAAAGAGACAGTTATTGTGAATAAATAAATTAGACTCTTATCAACTAAAGGTCATTAGAGAAGCAAAAGAGCATGCCGAAAATTTTATTCAGGGTTGGAGGAAGGATGTATCTAACATGTGAATAGAAAATTGGGGAATAGAATTAAGTTTTTAATTTCTGTTTTAAGTAGGCTCTATGCCCAGCATGGAACCCAACACAAGGCTTGAACTCACAACCCTGAGATAAAGACCAAAATGAGATAAAGAGTCAGACACTTAACCAACCAAGCCACACAGGCACCCTTAGTTTTTTATTTGATTGCATCCATTGGACACTTTTTCAGTGGAGTTGCCCACTTATTATTTTATCAAGTGCATTAAAAAGCAAATGACCTTCTGTTAGCTCCATTATTTCATTAATGGGGAAAAACACATCAGAACATAGAGAATGGGACAGGGAGAGGGATATTGGGAGAAAGAGAATGCAATTTTAGAATAATAGAAGTCCTTTACATTTGTGGCTAACCTTATGAAAAAAAAATTACTTGTCATTGTTTTTCTCCCTTTTGTCAAAGGTAATGAAAACTTCATCATTTGGAACCATCATCATAGTATACTTTCAACTTGAGAAGAGTAGAAAAGTTCATGGTTACCCTAAAGTCAAGGACTGGTCTCTTAGGTAATCAATCCACTACTTATGGTTTATTTGTGAATTTAGAAGGCCATGAATAATGGATCCAATATTTCTTTCTAGATTAGAAAAATAGTTATATCTGGTCACTGGAATAGAAATGTGGTACAGTAAAATGAAGATGTAGTTTAGAAACAAAAAGACTTAAGTTTCAATACTGCCTACAGCACCCATTACTGTACAGGAACTTGGTGAGATTTCTCTATCTCTGAGTCTCAGTTTCCTCAGCTATAAAATGAAGAAAATAATAAAATCTAATACATAGGGTTTATTAACAAATTATATAAAGCACACATCTGAGCAAGACTTCAAGTAGACATCAAGTCCTCAGTAAATCTTTCTCCCCTCATTCTCTGAGAAAGAAACTCCAACAGTCATAATAAACTTTTAGATAGATGCTAGGTCTCAAGCCACTTTAATTTTTTATAAATAAAATCCCTGTCTTTCTGATGTTTATTAGAAAGTCATCTAATAGTTGTTTGGGTATTTCATGACTTATACTCATGATTAACTTGGGACTGGGTATGACTTGGATTTGCCTGTTAAGGATATAGCATGATGCTTTGGTCCCTCTATGAATGTATCTATCTACCCTGTAATCTCATCACTGAAATAAAAGTGCCTGCCCCAGTTAGGAAGGTAGGGAGTGTTGTGCCCAAGATTGCGAATCCTAGAAACCACCAAGGAGCCGACACCGATGCAAACACATGAGGGTTTATTTACAAGCTCGAGCTTGGGTCCAAGTATACCCGACACAGCGGAGCAAGGACTTGGACCCCGAGACTAAGAGGCGTAGCAACTTTATAGGGGCCAGTGGCCAATGGGATACGCAGAAAGTTGCACAGTCTTGTCGGTCCACATGCAGGTGGCCAATTGAATTACATTTTACCCTAAAGTATCCATTTGAACTGGCCTATCACTGAGCCAATTTCTGATTAGGGTGTGCCCAGCAGCTTGACTAGGGTGGGGCAGCGCCTTAAGCAATAAGGTCATGTAGGGGCGATACAGGAGGTGGTGGGTGCAGCACAAAATTAGTCCTGCTCTGCTTGTCCAGGGGTAGGGGATTTTTGTCAAATTTCCTGGGTCCCACAGGGAGGAAGAAACAAGAATGGCTTAAGTCAATTGGAGAAAGACAATTACAGTATGGTTTCACTCATATGTGGAATATAAGAAACAGCACAGAGGATCATAGGGGAAGGGAGGGAAAATTGAGTGGGAAGAAATCAGAGGAGACAAACCATGTGAGACTCAACTCTGGGAAACAACTAAGAGTTGCTAGAGGGGATGTGGGGGGGGATGGGTAATTGGGTGATAGATATTAAGGAGGGCACAAGATGTGATGAGTACTGGGGTTTTTTTATATGCAACTGATAAATTATTGAACACTACATCTGAAACTAATGATGTACTATATGTTGGTTAATTGAATTTAAGTTAAAAAACATAAAAGAATGGCTTCTTGCGCTTATTCACCTAATAGTGTCTTCTGCCCTACGACCCAGCAATTGCACTGTTGGGGATTTACCCCAAAGATACAGATGCAATGAAATGCCGGGACACCTGCACCCCGAGGTTTATAGCAACAATGTCCACAATAGCCAAACTGTGGAAGGAGCCTCGGTGTCCATCGAAAGATGAATGGATAAAGAAGATGTGGTTTATGTATACAATGGAATATTACTCAGCCATTAGAAATGACAAATACCCACCATTTGCTTCAACGTGATGGAACTGGAGGGTATTATGCTGAGTGAAATAAGTCAGTCGGATAAAGACAAACATTATATGTTCTCATTCATTTGGGGAATATAAATAATAGTGAAAGGGAATAGAAGGGAAGGGAGAAGAAATGGGTAGGAAATATCAGAAAGGGAGACAGAACATAAAGACTCCTAACTCTGAGAAACGAACTAGGGGTGGTGGAAGGGGAGGAGGGCACGGGGGGGTGGGGGCGAATGGATGACGGGCGCTGAGGGGGGCACTTGACGGGATGAGCACTGGGTGTTATTCTGTATGTTGGCAAATAGAGCACCAATAAAAAATAAATTTATTATTAATAAAAAAAAATAGTGTCTTCTGAACTTAGTCTTGTCTCCTGGCCACCTTGAGTTTCCTAGGAGGAACAGGATGGGATCAGGTAAGTAAATAGCACTTGGACTCATGCCACCCTACTAACAGAATGGACATGTTAAATTTTTCAGCTTCCATTTATCAGTGGCAGTCCCTGTTGTCTTTGGAGTGGCATCATTGGATTTTTCAAATGACTAGATCAAATTTTTAACATTATACTTTTCCTTTTTCAGCTTCCCAACTCTGTAGCTTCTCAATTCTTATCACTCACCTGGACCCCACCTAGAAAAAATTATACAGAACCTATGGACCAAATTCCCTATAGACAAAGTTCCCCACAGACCTCTCCTACTGATGATACAATTGAACCACCCAGCTGAGGGCCGACACAGTTCTTTCTTTTCTTTTTCTGATAAAGCTAGAAGACTTAGGGTCCTGCAGTTGGGAGAGTGGGTGGATCAGGTACATGTGTGCATGTGGGTGCAGATGCTCTTTCTCTGGTCTTGTAGTCCATGTTAACCACTGAGTAGTATGGAAGAAGTGGAAATCAGCAGAAGCTCCTAGTGATCCTTATCTCTTTGCTGCAGGGGATTGTACAACCTAAATTCATAACATGGCTTATGAGGCCTTTACTCTTATTGCCTGTCTCTTGCCATTCCTTACTATATCCAAAGGTCTGAACACACTTAACTTCTTTCAATCTCTGGTCACTTGAATGTGGATTCTTTCTGTTGTGTCAGG